GGCGTCCTTGCCCCACTCTGGTCCATACAGCTTGGCACCTGCGTAGACGAAGAGTTGAACACCAAATCGGGGCTCCGGTAGGATCCGGTAGGTAGGATTAGAGGTCAGGCCTGTTAAGCCATCCACTCGCTCCAAGAAGGTCGGATGATCCACGAAGACGTAGTCCACCTTTCAAGCCCATATCAGGGTGCCAGAGTGCTTAGAGAATTAGCCCAATGGACATGAGCCCTTTCTTTTTGGCCTTCTGCTTGAAGGTGTGGAAGAAGTGCACGGACTCCTACCAAGCAGCTAAGATAAAAGCCAGCAGCAATGCCAAGGCTTGCGAAGGCGGTCCTGCTTGCCACCCATAGGGACGGACCCCCAGTAGCTTGTGTCCCATGCCTCCGAGTACTGATCGTAGCCTGAAAAAATCATGCCAGTCTGCGACAAAAGTTCATGCCCGCGCCGTGAACCAGTGAGATCAAGTGAGGCGAGGAGCGAGGCGAGATAACCATGCAGCGGTGGCCCAGTGCCGCCAAGGCAATGGGCAGTCCATCCATGGCCTCGCCCAGTCCTGGTTTGCAGGAGAGCACCAACGCGAGCTGAGGCTCGGCGTTGTCGCCCTATGCGACTACGTTCGAGCAGCAAAACGACATACGTCTGGCCAAGGCAGGAGTCCTCCCGTCTTCGAGAAGGGCGCAACCTCGCTCGTGACGAAGACAATCCTTCAGTCCAGGCACTCAATCAGAGAAGCTCATAATCTATCAATGTGACGACCGCGGCCGGACTGTGTCAGTGAAAGGCTCTGCAGAAGGCTAGCCGGCCTCCTTTCAACTAGACGACATCACTTTGACTTGTTCCAATCACTCTTACCTTTTTTGTTCCGTGACCCCTTCCCCTAATGCCCAGCGACCCCATCCTCGCCCCCCTGCCTTCCCCCACCCCCCCTTTCTACCCCGAACATATTTTCTGCTTTCGAGTCCGCAGGTGCCAGGACCAGCTTTCTTGAAGCCTCCCTCCCCCCCCCCCGCATTTTCCTTCAAGTGCTGTTCTGTCTTCAACATGAAATGCTGCACTTGTTGGCCAAAGCCTGCGGGCTCGTCAATCATTTGTGCGCAATACCAAGAACCAATCACACAGGATTCGCACAATCTGCACTTGCCGAAATCATCTGCACTCATGTGCAGAACGAATTACATGTACATGGCAAAAGCCGCGAACCAACTCCAGCTTCTGCTTCACAGACTAAAAAATACGTACAAAAACCTGTCCAAATGCCGATTTTGGCTGCCACCATCAAGTCACAAGTCAAGCCCGGCGGCTGGTACTTCTTCCCAATGGGCACTCGGAGCTTGCCGGCGGCGTCGCGGGTCACACCGCCACGGCCCTGTCTTCGCTTCTGAATAGCATAGTCATCCTACTGCCAGCTCTACCTTTCTGTCCCCTCCTCTTCCTCTCCTTACGCAAGTATAAGACACGTAGCTCTCTCACGCTGAGCTGATGCCACCGCAACGAGTCTTATGTATACTGCCCACCTTATGAACGTGACATTTACCTTCGCTTTCGCATGACAACCAACCAAACTTTATAGATAAGACAAGGATTTTGCGGGAAAATCTCCTCTTGAGGAAAAAACCGTGGAACCTTAGCCCTGCACAGGGTGCAATGACAGCAAAGTAATTTCAACTTTACACCACGATCTCTGTCAGTTGAAAGATCCTGGCATCTAAGCAGAAAGCGCAATGTGGGGGCGGTGGCTCATAGGCATTCAACGCATGTGTAGAAGAAGACCGGGAATCAAAGGTGTAAGACTCCAGGCCTCAGCCATGGCGCGGCCAACGGCCACCGCGGGAGGTCCGACCTCTTTCTAAAGCGCTTTGTCATCGTACCAATAGGACCAATAACATTTGGCCCCTAGGCGATATAAATGCAAGGTGAGCTGACACCGCATATGCCGACAACTCTCGGGTGAAACCACCGGCCTTGGGAGCGTCGCCATTCAGCACGCCGGCGGCAGCCTTGTTCCAGGATTTCCAAAGAGCACACAGCAACTTGGACAAGTGGACAAGTGCTCGGTTTCAGTTGCACCTCAAATGTTACTGATGTCTCCTGATCCTGGTTCGCACCACACAGACACATGTACTGGGTTTCTCAGTTTCTCATACTGATATGTACACACCTACGTACGTACGTAGATGCATACACATACATGCAGACACACATGCATGTGCACAAGAACGGAACGCGCGGCGCGGCCTTGGCGTAGCCCCGCGCCGGCCCCACAGAGCTGGTTGCCACGTTCCCCGGCTGCGAGGGCAAAGTCGGCTTGCCGCTGACGATGTTCAACACCTCGGATTCGGCTGCTCACGGCTGAGATCCCAGTTGCTGGCAGAGTCCGATCCTCTTCCTGGGACCTCTAAGACAGATACCACAACCAGCAAGACAGAAATAGAGTTTTTGGAAGGATTTGGAGTGGAGGTGTTCGTTCCAGATCTTTCCAGCAAGGAAGATCCGAGGATTTCATGTACCGCCAGGGGCCCTGGCAGTGCGCGGTGCGGCCTGGCTCGGACCGGCGGACGCGCTGGTGGCGCCAGCAGCACCGGCCATGTAGCGCATGGGAGGGGCTCCCGACGCTCCCATGGCTTTTGCCTTTGCAGACAGAGAGCTCGGCTTCCTACATCCACTGACAGGTGATTGATGTGCGTCCATATGAAGATATGATATAAAGTAGTATATGAAGTTGACCACTTGGAACGGACCATTGAAGCAGACGAACATGCGTTCCTGACCTCGCATGCGCATGTAGACTGACACGTGGCGCGGCTTCCTGCAATGCCTGCTGCCTGATCCCAGACTCTAATCCCAACAAGGTCTCCAGCCTTGGCTTTGGGGGCTGCTGCTTCGGCCTTGGCTCCAACGCCTGCCAGCGAAGCTATGATGGTAGGGCTTTAAGTTTCAAGCCGAAGCTTTGAAGAACCAGTGATGTTCATCCTGCCTTCTAGCTGCGCGCTTCAGTCAAGCATACAGTTGCTTCTCAACATCTGAGGACGGCCTTTGGACAGCGAAGACCCAGTTGCCCCAAGCCGATCAGTGGCGGACATGGGCTTCTTTCCCTCCTCCAGTCACCGGGCAGGGTGTGCATGTAAGTCTTTAAGCCGAGAGGTGTGCTGCATGCTCATCTCAGCCCCTTTGTTGCCGAGGCTTTGCGCCAGCTCTTAGAGTGCAACCCAAGCACCCCGCCGAGATTCGGTGCAAACTTACACACGCTCAACCAGGTTTGGCAATCATGAAGCTGGTTGGACTGAGTGAATACAGTGGAAGGGATTGCAGGCCCAACTCCAAAATACTCTGCACGCCTCGAAGCGAGATCCCCACAACTAACAAACAACTGGAGCCCTGACCCCCTACATAACCCCCTTTAAGGAGTTTAGACCACAACCTGAATCCTATATAACCCCCCCGTTTAAGGATTTTAGACTATGGCGCAAATGTCTCCTGTATAATCGCTGCTGCCGAGGCTGGCGGAGCGGAAGGAGTGGAGCTGGCAGAACTGGCCTTGCAAAGGCATGGGGTCCCCTTCAAAGGGAGTATAGGGATCATGCAGGGGTATGTAGGGGCATATGGGGTTTTGGGTTTAAGGATCGGGGTTTCCCAAAATTAGGGGGCCCTCTCCCTCAGCAAAGCAAGTCATACTTCCTAAAAGTATGTAAGCGTGCTCGGCTTGGTACCAGAGAAGAACAATGAAGCTTTGTCGGAGGAAGCGGCTGCAATGGGGACATAGGTTACAGGGTGCCTTCGGCATGGGCTCAAACTTCGCTAGCTTCACTTCCATGACTCTTCCATGCTAGGTCAAGTCCTTGCTGCCTCCCTAGGACGGATTGTCGCTTCAGCATGCTGGCTTCAAGTTAGGCCCGTGGAACTTATTCGGTGGCGTGCATTGTTGCAAACGATCGATGCATGGTCCGCGAAGTGATGCGCGATTAAATCCACAAGACAACACCTTGCCTTGGACATTTCACCACACCGTGACTCCTTAAAATGATTCCAATCATTGTAATGAATGCCGCTCCGGTCCGGAGCCCGTAGGCTGGAGATGCGGCCTTGGCGGCAGCAGGGCTGGGAACGGCCATGGCCTGCTTCAGATAGGGCTTCCAGATGCCAAGTAGGGGGGGGCATGGTTCAGGAGAGAGGTTTATCACATCTTCCTGCAGGGGTCAGAGTAGGCTTGAGTCGCTGGCAGGCTCATTTCGGCGCCTCCTTTTCCTTCACTCTGCGTGATGCTTCTATGACAGCTGGGAATTTTTGCGCTGGACCCAGCCGGTCTCGGGCTTGAAGGTTTTTGCCAGTGATTGATAGGTGCATTTACGAAAGGAAACAATTGGCCCATGGTCAACGAGGGTGCTGAGATGTACAGCAAGAAGGCTGCCTTCTTGGCGACAGCAACTGGGCGGGGAGCAGCCTTGGCAACCTGCAACGACGCAGGAACAGCGCATCAGCAAATGATAAAACTTAAAACATTCATCTACAACTCTCTCATGTGCGCCATGGTCTAAACTCCTTGAAAGGGGGTATATAAGGTACTACTACCATGGGGTCTTTTCAATCTACTGTGAATGACAGCTTGGCCTCGGCGGATCCAGACATGGCCTGGAAAAGCAAGGCCAATGAAGACACATATTGGAAGCGTCTGGTGGAAGCCGGCACGTGTTCAAACAGCATGCAGGCCTCAAAAGCAGGTCGAGGTAAGCAAAGGGATGAGCTGCAGTGGGCACAAAATGCTGCAGAATGATGCTTTCAGTCGCGTTTCCGCATGTCAAGCAAGCACCCAAGAATAGCAGCACTAAAGCTGAAGTGAGTGTGCTCTTCTTCTCTCCCCTCCATGCAGAAAATGTCTGAAGGAGATTGTAGCGCAAATCCCTTAGTCAGAACAGGACTTTGCCTCGAGGTAGACCCACGCTCATGAGATTCAAAAGGAAGATGTGGGAAGCCCTGACGTGACTGCCAGAATAGCAACTGGGCGCCTGCATGGCGACTTGAAGGGCAGCCTCCCAAACACTGCTGAAATGCTCTGGTGCGGCCCTATCTTGATCCACACCCTCTATAATATCCCAAACCGTAACCCCTTTGCACGGCACGGGTCTGCACCCCGCGCCCCATCTATGCAGGCAGTCTCTTCCACCAGCTGGAAGTGTGGTCCATGCAACAGGCTTATGGGGCCCCATCCGAATGCTCCTCACCTGTGCATCAAAGTTCTCGGCAACTTTTGCCAGGTGCTGTGCAGCTGCCACGTCTGAGGCGGGCTTGCGGCAGTGCGGGCACTCCGGCCTGAAAACAGCTGATTGCAACAAGGTTGGCACGTCAGTTTGAGCAGGAAGCTTGAGGTGGGGGTCTCCCAAGTTTAGGGCTACCCTTTGGGAGGTCCTCATCATAGGGGCCTAAAATAATTAGGTAAATAGGGGTTATAGTATGGTTATAACATTTCGGGATCTATATCGGGGTCTCCCTATTTATGGAAACGACCCAGTAGGTCTCGGTGCCACTTTAAGCGACTCAACCTCCGTAGAAGGAAATGGAAAAACATCACACATCCACAGAACGTGGAAGGAACGCCACACACTGGTCCCAAACACGGTTTTGCGGCATGCGACTCAAACCTTCAGCCAGAAAGCTGCAAGCCCATGTCAGCAGATCATGAGGCTAGCTTCTCTCTTGCTTCGACTACTTTTATCTGCGCAAGCAACTTGAGAGCCACGCTTTGGGAGCTTCACCAAACAGCCGATGCACACGCTGTGATAGCACTGGTTGCCTAGCGAAGACCATCAGTCAAATGGCTTCCTGTGCTTGATAACTCACCTATGAAAACCTTCCTGCCCGGTCTTGGGAGTGTAGCCAGCATTTCCCAATCAAATGGCCTTCCCTCCTGTCAGTCAAGTCCTGCAAAACATATGAAGCGACATTGTACACATGTTTTGGTCTGGGCATCGCGCAAAAAAAGCCGAAGTGCCCAGAGCTATGGTAACCTGAAGCAGTCTGCGCACTGACTCCAGTGCTTCAGTCATCCTCCCAAAGCAGGACCACCTGCTGCCGCGTGCCTACCCACATGCATCATGTCTGGGTTTTGGAGCAGATATCTTTCAGCCCCCTCAGAGCTGCAGCTGGCGGTCATGACGAAGTGTGCGAGTTCCCCATAAGTCTTTCTGCATGCCGTGTTTGCAATGGTGATACGTGTCTGGGCCCGACACACACGACGCAATTTCGCATCCTGGCTTTGCGGCTTGTTCATCTAAAGCTGTGGCACAGCACGGCATGCAGCATAATGCGGAGCTGCACTGAGATTACGATGCAACTCAACTTTTTTTTAAGGCACAGTTTTGAAACTCTGTCCTTGTTACCCCATTTGCCCCAAAACCTGCAAAACATGGACTGAATTGCGTGGAAACGGGCTGCCTGTCATCCTTCAGATCCAAGTGGATTTGAGGCTCGACGTCAATGCCAATCTGGCGACACCATAGACTGCACTTCAGACATCTGCAGATTGGTGGCAGGGTGTGTCTTTCTGGTTCACTGCGACGGTCGCAAGCTTGGCTAACTGCGACAGCACAATCGAAACCCATCAAACTCAACGTAGCAGGACCTGGATTTTCTCCACTGCCTGCACCATCTCCTGGAGATCTGTGCCATGTCACCATGGCAAGGCAGTGCGGCAAGTGCTTCAAAACCATCTAGCCCTGCCCACTCCTGTGCCGCTTTCTGAAACTCCCGGGAGATAGCGGCGAAGCCGTCCTACCGTGTGGCAACATTGGCAAGTGAATGTGGAGACAGCTTCAAACCCGGCTAACTGCCAAGGAAAGCCGTCTGATGTGTGGGTCAAGTCTCATACCTACGCTCATACTGCTTTGACTCGAAGCACAGTGAGAATAATGAAAAATACTCAGAAAAGCATGAAGGAGGATCGAAGACTACGACGCATGCCGTTGGCAACGCAGCAGCCTCAAAGTCGGACCACTGCAGGAGAGGATCGTAAGAATCGTCCTGACCGGTTGCGACTATGCAAGGATGTCATGCCACTTGAATGATGTCAGAACGAAAACAATCTGGAGATCTAGGGTGACTTCTGCGAAGGCTTGAAGGGCTATGATGCCTGCAACTGCACTGGGAGTGGGAACCATGTTCGCCCATAGCTTTCTAGCACACCACACCGAGACGCGCATTCACGCAAGCTATGTTTTTAAGCCTCTCGTTGCCACCATCATAATGATGACTAAGCTACTTTTCAATTCCCGAAAAAGTTGGGCCACCGAAAGGTCTTCTTCAAATACTTAAGGAACCTAAACAAAATCAATGGGACCATCATTACGTTGGAAGATCCCACCTATCTAACTCCTATGCTCGCTACTGGTCCTAAAATTCCGACGACAGTCCGAAATGGAACCCAGGGTCGAACACTGCTACCCATGCTCGCGTGTCTGCCCGTGCACAGCGAAGGGGAGCTCCTCCTGCTCATCGGGAGCGGCCTCGCGCTGAGGCGCCCTGAACCAAGGATGCCTGCCACAATTCAGATGAAGGGGTAGTGGATCTCGTGAAGACTTTTTGCAGCTTCCTTCTAGCTCACAAATGAACATGTCCTGCTGAAACGCTACCTTTCATTGAACTGCAGTTGCCGGAGCTGATGACACGGCACAATTGCTGTGTAAACTAGCTGAGTCTTAGGCCTAGCAGCTTAAGTGGCAGTTTCCTAAAACAGGGGACCCCAATGAGCCCCAAAGTATTCTAATCCTTATTATGGGACCCACCAAAGAAAGTCCACTGATTTCGGAAACCCAAACCCAATCCCTAAACCCTAATATAGCCCCATACGACCCTATATATCCACTGTAAACCCTTTTAAATGTACCCCCTTATTTTTGGGGGAAACCCTAACCCTAAACGGGTGCTTCCATTGTCTTTTCCGTTATCCCTACATCACAAACCTTACATATCCCTATATAATCCCAATATAACTCTACTCTATAACTATAGGTTCCATTTTCTTTTCCAGCCTCCCCTATATAACCCCCATATAACCCCTATATGCCCTAAACAGGGAGGATCCCTAATGAAGTGACAGGAAGCGATCCCTGAGCCCAGTGCTTCAGGGCATCCTCAGCTTCAAGACGGACACTCCTGAAGCAGACTCAGCATTTGGGAGATACATAAGCTTATATCTATAGGGGATATATGGGGATATATGGGGCTATATAGGGTTTAGGGTTTCCCAAAGTCCTAAACCCTATATTCTAAGCCCTAAGAAAAACCTACAAATATGGTTGATGGAGGTCATGCACCACGAGTCCCTGATCTACTGGAATGCATTGGGTACAGCCCCCACTCATTAACAGCGGGATAACAATTATAATATAAATAACTATGTAGGGAATGGGGTCCCCCTTTTTATGGAAACTACCATTTCTCAGGCTTGGTTGGTGAAAGTCGTGATCAATGCGTCGTTCTCTGCTGTCAGTTTTGTCTCTGCGACGTCTGTTCTTCTCACTTGACGGAGACATCTACCCCCGGTCCACTCAACCAGGAAGTCATGTAATGATAAGCCACCTTGGAGCTGATTGCAGGAGTCTGCAACAAACATGTCAAACAAAAAGATTCTCTTGCACTGTTCGCACCCTGTAATGGAACTTTAAAGAATTAGCATTTCGCACTCGAGTCAGCTGGGGCCGAGTGCTGTTGACGCACATCATCCCATTTCAAGAGGCCCAATACTAGTATTACTATTATTAGTACTTAGTACTACTAATATCACTATTATTCGTATTATTCGCAGATTGATTGAAACTCCCGGGTTCCTCTTCGGCCGGAGGAGGCGCCGCACCAAGTCCCGTGCTATGGGAGATGGCCTGTGCAGCAGGGTGCTTAGGTACATAGTCATAACAAGAACAAACATAAGAATACTATAGAATACTAAGAAGAAGCAGAATAGAAAGAACAATGCTGGTATAACAGTAATAATAAAATGAGAGTATCATTAGTAGCAATAATACTAGCTGTAACTGCAGACATCACAGTTGAATGCGTTGGCAGCAGGAGTTTGTAAGAGACGATTTCTAGCTCTGATCCTAGTCTGCGGGCCAGGCATGCTCCACGCATTTTGGTAGACTCGCTGTCTTCCAATTGAGACGTTGCAAAATTGAAAATCGGACCCAGCAATCGGCAACCCTTCCAGATCCCTTCAGGCTCCGAGGGTTACGCGTATTGGAGCCCTGAACTGTGGATGTGCCGCATCAGCCAAAGGTTGCAGAATGTACACGCTAAAGTCTCCTAGTGTGGACAGGTTGTTCGCCCCAAGACGCAGAAGTCGAAGTTGAACCTGATTAGCTACGTTCATCCACATGGTTGCCTGTCAGACTCCCTCTGACCTGCGAGGGCTGCAGGCCGGAATGCAACGTGCGGAGGGCGTAAACAACTCACAAGACAAGCCAGTTGCCTTCTGCTGGATTCACTTGACTTCCAGGTGCGCCCTACTCAGTGCAGTCCCACCAGGACCCAGTCGGATCCTATAAATACCTGAAAAACCGCTCACGCCACAGTTCTGGGCAGCGGCGCATCTCGGCATCTCCATCCAAGTATGCTCAGGTAATAAGGGCATTCATCAAAATCAGGGTCTCCTTATGTCTCCTGAATTACAAACTTTTGCTTCCTAGAATACTCAGGGCCCAGAAAGGGACCCAGAACTTTGAGAAACTCCCGTAGTGATGCGGGTTCGGCCAGTTGTGCCATTATCTGACGCTCCCTCCGCATCAGATACTACGATACTACGCGAATGAAAGCCAAAGAACCAGGCCAAGCGTGGCTGCTACTGCTAGTACGGCTACCAAGTCCTCCTCACCTTCCTATTTCTACTACTAGTACTATTACTACTAGTCTTCTCCTTCTTACAACAACAACAACAACTACCACTACTACGTACAACTAGTAGTTGCTCTAGTAGGAAAAGAAGTAGAAGTTTCAAAGCAAAAGTACTGGAAGGTTAGTAGTGATGGGACGACGATGACGACGACCACGAATTGTACTTGTAATCGCATGTAATGGCCAAAATGATAGCAACAGCAAAATCTTCATTGCAATAATAGTGGCAACGCAATAATCGCAATGGTAATTTGTGTTCATGAATGGTAAGAAAGCTGCGTTTCGGCTTTGGGGCCTAACAGAATCCAAATCATCCCCTGTCAATTCAACCTCACAGCCGTCATGGGTAGAGCATGTTGAGAACGCCCAGCTGTAGGTTGCGCCTGCCCAACCTGTACCATGGTTTATAGACTGAGCCAACCTACTAATAATAAGCTTCATGAAAATAACAGTAGTAAGAGAAACTTACCTTCGAAAGATTCATCTTCTTATTGATGGTGATGATGATGTCCGCAGCATGTGTGACCTTCAGAAAGCATCTCAAGCAGGACTTAGCCGATCTGATTCTCAACATTCTAAACAAAGTGCCCAAATCGAACCGAGCTGGACTCGGGGCGTTCTAGACAAAATGGCCTGGCACCCAGAAGATCAATTTCATCCAGACAATGGCATTGCTTCAATGCTGTCAGGGGTATCCGTCCAAAAGATCCGATGGGAACCAGTCCGGAGTAACTTCTACGAATCGGTTGAACACTGGTACAACGGATGGCGAGCCATGAGCCCACCTTGCCGGAAATCAGCCCTTCCCTACGCGGATACGAAAAGACGCAGGATGCGCAATCTGACCATGTTCGCCAGCTGCAGCAATCACCACGATTCCACGCGCACGGCGATTGGACTATAAGGACGCAAGAAGCAAGCCGTAGGCTGGCGGACCGTGATATCATGTATGCTACAGGTGGACGCTGAGGTTGAAGCAGCACACATGCACAGCCTTCATGGCCGCTTCTGCGTGAAGCCGATGTAGTGCTGAGTCTCAAACCTTGCTATCAGTACATATACGATACATCGGCAAACAAGAGACAGGACGACCTTCATGCTTTGGAGGGCATCCGACCCTTGGAAGGCATCCTCTGTTTCGAGGGCGCCCTGTCCTTCGACATGTAGCGCTCCTTGGACTCTTGTCGGTCGTGATGCCTGTGTCTTTTGTGCTGTTTGGCACGATGGAGGCTGGCTGCTGCCTCAACATCCGGCAGGCAACTCCTCAGCCTGAGCTGCGCATCGACTGAGGACTAAGCCCGGTAGGGCCCCAGGCAATACTTTTGCGTACCAGGGTATGCTTGCCCCTGCAAGGGCTGCTGTCCACGCAACACATCGGTCAGCCATTGTCGAGCTTTCGTTCCTGAAGCCACAGGACAAACAACCGCTGCTTTCGGTTTTGTAACTGTACGCGTGGTGCTGGCAGCAAACAAGAAACTTCTCCTGAGGTGTCTAGGAAGGGATCTTCACGATACGCCATCCTGAGTCGGCTGGTGCTGCTATCAGTCTAGCAACCTTCTGGCACACTTAACACTCATTGCGGCGCTTGAAGCTGGCATCAGGCAGGGCACATTTTATCCCGGTTCCAGAGCTCGATACCGCGTCCGACCTGCAGCAGGGTGATTACCTTTGTTATTTTCAGAACAGAAATTTGGTCTGCTGGGACTTCATAATGCCATAAATACTCTCACAGGGCGGCGTCAGTTGCTACTCTTCTTTCGGGGCCTTGGGGCGGTTGGGTTGGTGCGGGGGAAGCTGTGGCCATCATGATTTCTTGTGAATACCCTCTTGCATTGATTACGGACTGAATTGAGCAGCCACACCTTCTGCCCAACTACCACACTCTTTCCTTGACTGAGCTCTTGGCTTTGGCGATGACCCGCGAGCACGTACCACAAATGCCTGAGAGCTGCCAAGTCGCTCGATGGCCATGTCCCATGAGAATTAGATCAGCATCCAGAAGCTAAGTATCCTCTGCAGGTAGTTTCATCTGCTGCTGTGATCGGATAAACTGCAAGACCCTTCGAGCCTTGTCAAACCAGGGTAGCCTACAGTCTTAAGATCTTACCCCTTTGCGAATGAGAATGGCGCGTTCATCTGTCTTGAACTCCCAGTCCACCTGGTTGTCGGTGAAGACCTGCCGAAGCCCTCAACCCTAAACCCTAATCCCTATATCTCCCTTTCTAACCCCATATAACCCCTATAACTCCCCCCCATCTGAAAACACCAGGTGCCAGAATCTGACCTTGTGATCGGTCAAACCGTTAGTACCTTTTTGGGGGGGGTTCCCTAGAATAAGGATGATTGTGCATTAGAATATTTGGAAGGGCCACAAGACGATGCGCACATTCATCCAAGCAGCTATCCTTACAGCGCTGGCATCCCAGGATTGACAAGCGTTTTGCCAGAAGACACACGTTCTACTACAAATTGTGAAGCCCTGTACCCTTTCCGCCGCATGATTCCAAAAGGAAGTGGGTGGATGTAAACGGAATGATGCAAGGTTGAGCGACCTGCAGCCTGCAAATCCCTGTTCGAAAACCTTTGGCATAGAGTGGCAAGGGCCCCTAAACTCAGCATGTGTACAAGCAGCATGCGTTGTAGAAGACGAGCTGGTAGCAAGCAGGCATGTACTATTGTTGTGACTGCCTGCGACATGATGACCTTCATTCGCTCCGCCATAAACGCGTAGTCTTTCCCGACCTCGAAGCAGGCGCACCCATGTCGCTTCAGGCTGGGGCTCGTACTCAGACTGCTGGTAAGTAGCCCAGAACTGCAACACCTGGGCTGGATTCTCCATCACACGCTTCATGCACTTGGCAAATCAAGGTTCCTATTGCGAATTTAACCAGGCTGCTACGGGCTTGCCCGGCCGCGTCTCCATAAGTGGCTTGCTGGGCGCAACATAGTCCCCAGCCAGCTTCATGTAGTCTGACACAAGCGCTTGTATTAAAAGTGCTCCAACATCCAAGCTGATTCTTTCAAGACCTCTAGTGAGGAAACCGCAAGAGTTTGAACTGAAGCAGCTGAGTGTAGGCATGCGAAGCTCGCAACACACTTGCGATTGTTGGCCTTGCCGATCTGCGTGTCCTGTAACAGAATGCAGCAACCGAGGCCTGCATTGTCTAAGTTTTGCCAGCTGTGCCTCTCTTCTCCAGGAGCTTTAGTTCACGGCTGGGATGCACCTCGCTAATTTGTAGGCATCTGTGGAACCCCATATGGACGTTCAATGCTGCACCATGCTTGTAGGGCTACTTCATATGAAGGGCCCAATTGAGGAACTCGTCATAGGTGATGTCACCAGATGCATTAACATCGATAAAGTCCTTGGCTGGCGACGCCATGAAACTTGATAATTTTGGCAGTCACAAAACAGAAGCAGACTATAACTTGGGGTTTGTAGCAGCCCAAGAAAATGCTTGCCAGATAGCTTTCAAACACAGACTCTGCAGAGCACAATCACTCAACTCTTACTGCTGAAGTTGAAGTGCTCTTCTATTCTCTAAAGTCTTGGACTGGCGACATGAAGGTCATTGCCTTAGCTGCGGCAATGGCAAAGTGCAACCGGGAGTTTGTTGGAGAAGGGTGACTCCTCCTTGTTATGAGGAAGGCACAGGTAGATACGGGACACAACACATGGCAAGCCACTTGTCTCACACCCATCAAGACGACTTAGCTGCTTGATAATACAAACGAAGAGGGAGAAGCAATGCTAGTCATCATCACTGCAATTCCGTTTGCTGTCCTTTTTTTTCCGGGGAGGCAGTGTGACGGCAGGGGTGGTGGTGGGTTATGCCGTTATGCCTATGCGGGGTCGCTGGTGGTCGCGGTGGTATCCAGTCACCATGATGATGATTATGATTATGATTGTGGCCGCTGCTGCGCTGCTCCAGCCAAATTTCAAATCTCAGCCAGGTGACTAGCGGCGCGTGGGATTCCTGCAAGGGGATTT